TGTGTGTGTATATATGTATATATTTGTATGTGTCCTATTTTATTGTGTATTTATATTTATATTTAAGTATATTTTGTTTTTGAATGTGTTTATATATTTGTATGTTAGGGTATATATATATATTGGTGTGTGCTGGTTTTTGAATGTATATTTATGCATGTATATGTAAGTACGTTTATATATGTATTTGGTTGAGTTTTTTGTTGTATTTATATGTATGCATGTATATATTGGTATTTTATTATTATAGATATATTTATATATATTTTATTTGTAGATATGTATGTATGTGTATATATATTTATATGAATCTATGTTTGTGGATGTATATGTGTGTTTGAACCTATTATGTACGAAATTGTTTGTATGTAGGTATGGAAAAAAAACTGTCATTACTGCCAAAGTAGTTATCCCTAAAAAATATATATGTTCATATATGTACTGGTGTATGTATTTATACTGGGGGAATATATTTTTTCATATATGTTGCATAAAAGTGTTTGTATATATGAAGTGTATTTATGGTTATATTTATATGTGTGTGTATGTGTATTTGTTATCATAGATATATATATATATGTGCGTATATGTTTATATATTTATATGTATGTATTTTTGCATGTATATGTATGTATGTGTGTGTATGTTTTGTGTGTTAATTTGTTTTTTTGTGTTTTTTGTATATATATATATGCATATGACTGTACATAATATGGTTTTCTTTTTCTTCCTGTTTTTCTTTGCCTAATATATAATGAAACTATCATCAACTTATATGATTAAAATATATTTTTTTATTGATATTTGTGGTTTTGGAATTTTCATTTTAATATATTAAATAATATTATTTTTAACCATTTTTTATCTTTGTATATTTGCTCCCTTAAGTTATAATTTAATAAGTGGTTAGCATTTATTTAATGATACTTTGAGTCTTAAATATTTATTGGTTGTGGTATCTGATTGTCTGTCATTGTCTGTGGATGTGTGTACATGTATTTATCATGTGTCTATGTGTATGTAGAGTGCATTCACATTTAATTGTGTGTGTGTATAGGTGTTGGTTTCCCCTTTTTTTTTTCATAAAGGTTGTAGTGATGTTCCTGTCTCATTTTTTAAGTTTTTTTTTTTCTTTTTTTTTTTTTTTTTGTGTGTGTGTGTGTGTGTATATATATATATATATATATATCTAAATATGTCTTTTGTTTTGACCACATTCACACACACTAGAATAAAAATATATATACATGTATTGTTAAATGACCGGATATATTGTTACTAATTTCTTGTCGAACGTAATTTCAACGAAGAAATAAATTGAATAACATATATATATTTTTTTTTTTCAATAATTTTGTAGTTTTTTAAATTTAATAGTGATTAAATTTGGATTTTAAAATTGCCAGTTTTAATTTTAATATTAAATTTTATCATATAATTTTATAATTATTGGTTAGTATAAATTATATTTAATATTACCCGTATTTTAAAGATCTGAATAGCTATTATAACATGATTTTGTTGTCAAGCTTTTGAATCTTTCTATACTTGGTTTTTGATTGGTTATTCTAGCTTTTGTAACAATGTTTCCCCCTAATGTAGAATCGTTAATTAATTTGAAACTTTTAAAACCATTTATTTTATCTTCAACATCATCACTTGATAAGACACTGAGGGTGTTGAAACAAAATGATTTTATTTTTTATAGTGATTTTATAATGTTATAATTTTTTTATAAATAATAATTATATATATATATATATATATATATATATATATGGCAGTATAGATTCATTTGCCGGGGATGTAACAATAAGAGATAGATCAAGTATCCACCATCATAAAGACTGAAAAATAAAATTGACAAAGATTATTGTTTAAATAGTTGACGGACACACATGTCTTAATTAGTTTTTTTTTTTTTTTTTTTTAAATTTTTGGTCAAACCCAAACTCAAACAATAACTCTGTTTACAATCGTTATGAGTCTATCGATTGATGAATAGAATTTTATTATAAACAATTGTCTTGTAAATAGAATTTTTAAAGCATTCTGAATGTAAAAAAAAAAAAAAAAAAGTTTGCAAGACAATAAGAAACACTACCTGCCAAAAAAAAAAGTGAAGTTTTGTTGAAATCGGTTGAAAAATGTAGGTAGCCTTTCTTGTAATCTAATCTTTTACAATTTATGATTTTTACTTATTGAATACAGTAAAAAAAAAAATTGCATATTTTGCTTGTGGTGATTCATAATTAGAATTCTGATTTGAATATATTTTCCACTCATTTCTAATACAAAAATATTAACTTTATTTGGGTTTATTAATTTATTACAAGTACTAATTCTTTCCTATTATAATTATCATCTTCTGTAATATTGTTGTTTTTTTTCTATTTATTTTTTTTAAACGTATTGAATTTTTAAATTATTTCTTTTTTTACAAATTTTTTAAATATTGAATTAATTTTTCAAATAGAACCAATGCCTTATTGATTTGCCTTTTTACAAATTGCAAATGGAAATTTAAAAATTTTTTTAAAGTATTTTTATTTATCTTTCCCTAAAGATAAAGAATTATCCGATTTTTTCAATTCATAAATCAGTAGAGATCAAAGATTATTGTTTAAGGTTGACGGACACGCATGTCTTAATTAGTTTTTTTTTTTTTTTTAATAATTGGTCAAACCCAAACTCAAACAAAACATTGTTTTCAATCATTATGATGAGTCCCCGATTGAATAGAATTAGAATTTTATTATAAATAATTGTCTTGTAAATGGAATTTTTAAAGCATTCTGAATGTAAAAATAAAGAAAAAAATTGTGCAAGAGAATAAGAAACACTACCTGCCAAAAAAAAAAAAAAAAGTTTTGTTTTATCGGCTGAAAATATAAGAAATCGGATCCCATATTTAAAGGAACACACACACAAACAACCTGGGTTTCTTAACCCGATGTGAGTTGTCCCCTTTCATTTTCACGATGTGTCTTAATTGTGTTTCAAATTGATTTTGTTAAAAACAATTATATTTTTTCCCATTTTTTCATATGTTAGAACCACCACAAGGTAATTTTATGTAGTCCTGTGAAGTTTTGTTGAAATCGGTTAAAAATGTAGGAAATCGATTCAATAATATATAAACGTTACAGACACACACAATCACACACACATTATAATAAGTAAAATATATATATATATATATATATATATATATATATATATAAATAAAAAAATACTGAAAAAAAAAAAAAATTCTGAATATGCATTGTATTAATATTTAAAATAAAGTCGACGTCGGACGTTTTAAAAGTTTAAGACCATCTTCATGGAAAGAAAAATAGTGAAAAAAACTGTTTTTAGAACTGTTCCATCGTTTTTAAAATCACTTTTGGATTTGCATTGTAACGGGAAAGACTTTCAAGCTTGTTGAAGATATAAGAACCAATTGATCACTACGTATTTTCAACATCAACGGAAGAGATTTCTTTAATTGTTTATTAAAAAATTTTCATTCGACTTTTGATATTTTTTTTGATTTTTGGAAATCATCTTCGAATACGTCTTAGCAACATCGCCCACATGACATTACGTATCATCATTTTAAACAGAACGCTGATCTGTATAAAATTTCAGTTATCTGTCTGAATTAGTTGGGCTCTTATGTCCATCGTCTTTTGTGTTAAATTGTTATAAGTTATAATGTTAATTATGTTTAAATGAAAATGTCCATGAAGATGGTCTTAAATAGACCGAAACGTCCGACGTCGACTTTATTTTAACATTAATAATGCATATTCATCGTTTTTTTTTTTTTTTCAGTATTTTTTTTTCATACTGTCGGATTTATATCCATATATTTGCTTATATATATATATATATATATATATATATATATATATATATATATATATATATATATATATATATATGTAATGTGTGTATGAATTTATTGCTAATGATTTTACTATAGGAATGCATTGAAAATCAGTAAGAAAGGGATTGTCAGGTCAGGAATGAAGGCAAGCATTACTGATAGAATAGAGCTATTATATGTAGAATCTAAATGCATTGCTAATGATTTTTTCAATGCATTGAAAATCAAAAAGAAAGGGATTGTTAGGAATAAATATAAGCATTACTGATAGAATGCATTTATGTATAATGTAAATAGACTGTTATTGATTTTACTATAGTAAGGAATTGAAAATCAGGAAGAAAAGGTTTGTCAGAGGTCAGGAATACTGATATAATTGGGCTATTAAATTTGTCTTATTTTTCTCTCACTTTTACTCTGATTCACTGCTTACTATTGTGTAAACATTTCCATACACTTTTATGGCTAAAATTTTTAGTGTAACAAGCAAATGTCCCTTGAAAATAATTAACTATCCAAGATCATCCCAGAAAATATCCAGTCATTTAATATTAACAAAAAAAGAGCCTCCTAAGGGCAATGGCACCTTAAGTCTCTTTGAAAATATTCTCATGAGGACTTCCATATAATTATACTAGCATTCGTTGCACTTTTCAAAACAATATGAATTCCTCTTTAAGGATCCCCATTAGCTGTCTGGTTACATTCTCCAGACTCCCATCCACAGCAAAGGCAGTTTTAAATTTGAAAAAATATCAAAAGTTGCAAGAAGTCAAATTTTGATAGACAGGAGTGATTCAATAGATAAAAAAAGCACAGGACATGAAAAAAATCTATTTACTCAGTTATTATGAATATGACAGCCACAGAGTACATAATTATTTCAATGCTAAGTGAGTAACCCCATGGGAGAGTGTCTGTTCATGCATGCATAGTAAGGTGCCTTTACTTACATCATCTGTATTACCTGTTCTAGAGATGTTCAAAATGATTGGACATGATCCAGGCAGACATCGTATTCAAGAATTTTTAAGTTAAAACATATCTATAATTTCTATTTTATTTTTTCGTTGAATAAATTTTCAAAAATAAGTAAAATAAAAAGGAACTTATCAAAAATACTTACCACTTTGTTCTTGGTTTAAAAGGAGATAATTTCTCTAAACTGGAACTCAATATATGATCAACAGATTGATCAAAATGCTTCAAATTTTTTGCCAATGATATTTGGCTTTCATCAGAAGCTGGCTCTTCTATTTCAAATGAAGAATCCCAGGGGGAGAAATCCTGACACTCATAACCTTCGACAGAAAGTTTATTTTCATCGATATTAGTTTTCATTTTCTGGGTAAAGTTTGCTTTTGATGCAGCATAACAATTATTTACAACGTCATCTCTAGTCTCACGAGTTATGTCACAAGTTTTCTCTGACAAAATGTTTGATTCCTGATTGTCATCCACTTGCGAAATATTTATAAGCAGAGAGTTGCTTGTTGGAGGCTGTTCAGTTTCATTTATAAAAGCTTCTGTTCTCTGTTCACTTGTAGCAGACATTTCATTTTTGATTCCTGTCATATATGGGTCTCGGGTTTTCACACTCACTGTATTTTTGCCTTCATTTAATTCACTTAAAATTTCTTGTAATAGATTCTTATCTTCAGTCTGATTAATTTGGGATGGAAGTACAACACAATCAACATGTGTTGTCTGACTTTGGATATTTGGAGATGTCTTTTTCAAAGTTGCATTCTGAGGATCAGGCTTTGTTTTGGCAGGTTTAGAATTTGAAACAGAGTCAATTTCACCAAGGATTTCCAAGAGGAGTGTTTCATCTTCTGCAGAACTCATTTTTGATTTACACTTCTTCCCAGTACTTCTGAAAGACCAGCTCATTTGATAATTCTGTTGCTTTAGACTTGTTTCCTTATCTTGTTTCAAAAACAACTTTGGTATTTTCTCATGATTCGTCAATACTGTCACTGCTGACCGGTCTTCTTGATTGGCTAACTGATCAACCACTTCTGTCTTTTGTTGAGCCACCTCCTCGGATACAGCTGCTTTTTTATTGGTGCATGGAGCATGTCCCGTTTTTTGATTGGTCAGTTGAGTGGCCATTTTGTCTTTGTTTATAGAATTTAAATGAATCTCATTTAATAATTCTTCTTTACTCTTTTCAACCAGTGAGAGGCCCAGATCATCCCAAACTTCTGCACCTTTTGTCGATAACTCCTCCCACATCTCAATCTCATTATCAGACAAGTCAAAACTGCCATTTTGAAAATCAAGTGGGGTTTCATCTTCAGACTCTTCCGATTTGTCTTCTCCAACACCCTTCTCAGATGGACAGGATTCAGAAAAAATATTACGCTTAGCAGAAGGAGATATACCAGTTTTTGCAAGTCGTTTTGTAGAATTTGTATATTTTTTTACTGGTGTCACAGATCCTACTGTAGTTGTCAGCTCAGCAAGTGAGCTGGAGACTGTTTGGTGGGATAGGTTGCAATCTTTAATAGCAGTCTTTGATAAATCTGAATTTACTGCTCTTACTTTAACAGGGTTAGCAACACATGGCTTTGGTCGCTTAGTTTTGTTCCTCATTTTTAAAAGCTCCACATTTTTGGCTTGGTTGATTTTGTTTTCCACAGTGTTTTTCAACTGAGCTGAAGATGCAAGGAAAGTTCGACTGATGATTTTTCTTGGTTTATTTTCTGGAGTTTCAGGAATGACATGAACGGAATTATAAGTTTTGGTCTTTGGAAATGTGGGTGAGGAACTAAGGAGCAGAGGTTCTGAGTCACTACTAGTCTTGGGAGTCAAGGATTGTGAGGATAAGGAAGAGATTTTCAGGGTTGATTTAACTGTTTGCTTGTCAAAGTCATCTTGATCTGTACCTTGGTCAGACTTGTTGAAAGAATTTGTTAAATCATTCATTACATGAGACGAGGAATGTTTTTTATGTTCTATAGGCTCGGATTCGGTTATTTTGTCCTGAGAAATATTTTTGGCAGCAGGATTCTGAATAATTGTAAAGAAAGTTGAAGAATTTGGTTTGCTGTTACAGGGACCTTTCTCTATAGAATGTATCTCTGGATTCCTGGAGGCCTTAAAAGGCAGACTTTTATCTGGCGGGGCATTATCAGTGATAATGACATTATCCTTCCTTTTTGGTAAACGTAGCTTAGAAGATCCAACAGTCGTAAACAACTTTCCATTGGAATTTGTACCTTTCTGGAAAAGAAAAACATTAAACATTATTATTAAGTGAACAAGAATAAACTTCTTTAATTGACTGTGTGTGTGTGTATATATATATATATTATATATATAAATAATGATATTATTTGGTAATCCATATGAATAATTCCAAAGAGGATATAAATCTAGAGAGAGCTCAATATAAAAACAAAGCTAATAATAATAATTATAAAAACAAAGACTTTAATAGGTCATGATAATATTTCATTAGAACTGATATATCAGTTCTAACTCATCAGATCGAACATGATCACACAAATAAATGGGCAAAAATTTCCCAGGCCCAAAAAATAATAATCCAAGGATAAATTATGCAGATTTAAAATTGGGGGAAGGGAGAGAGGAAAGAAGGTAAGTATTCAGAAAGGGGGAGGTAATGGAGAGAGAAAGAAGGATATGTATTCAAAGCTAGGAAGGGAAAGGAGGAGAAATAGAGAAATATGTCTGTTTAAAGATATATCTCAAGGTTGTATTGATGATATCAGACACGTTGACCTAATTATCCCGGATGTGCAAAGGGAATTAGAATGGGTTTCGTCAACTTGGAAAAGATGAGAGGGACAGAAAAAGAAAGAAAAGGAAAGAGAAAGAAAGGGAGTTAAAGATACAACTTACAATCAGCCATCATCAGTGTACAATTGAATATATTTTTTTGTTTAATGCATGTAGTCATTCATGATCTTACACTTTTGTTTTTAAAAACAATAATAATAATATCCGTCAAAAATGATGTACACAATTTTCTTAAAAAGTAATAAAATATATACTATTTTATTATCAAAAATTACTTTTTTATAAATAGGTTATAATAAATAAAAAGGATATAAAAAAATCCAAAGAATTGTTTTCGGGATCAGAAATTAGGTTCAAAATTCTGATACCCCAAAAAGTTTCAATATTTCTGATTAATCATCCCATATATATATATATATATATATATATATATATATATATATATATATATATATATATATTATATATATATATATATATATATATATATATATATATATATATATATATATATATATATATATATATATATATATATATATATATATATATATATATATATATATATATATATATTATATATATATATATATATATATATATATATATATATATATATATATATTATATATATATATATATTATATATATTATATATATATATATATATATAATTAATTAGGTTTGCTCTACTTAATGTGAGGCACTTAGTTATTTTACTTTAATGTATTGGCTTTTTTTTTTCTTTGGACTCTGAACTTGGATGCTAGATGATTGTCTTCGGCTGACATACATGTTCTCTGTTCTTTCTTTTTTTACCTTTTTTTCCCTTGGTATTTGTCTGTTTACTTACATATCAAGGCACCCAAGGTTTTCTGGACTAGATGTAATTTCATTTCTCATATTTATAAGATTATTACTATATATATATATATATATATATATATATATATATATATATATATATATATGCATTTGAGTGCTGGTGTTAATAAAATAGGGCTTGATGTAATATAACAAAGCTATTAAATATATATTAATAAATGTACATTCTTTTTATGTTTATATTCTTCTTATAAATTCTACCCTCCAGAAACTCCACCTTTCACATGAAATATACTTTATCAACAATATACTCATGTATATATATATATATATATATATATATATGACAGATACATGGAAAAAAAGGAAAAACTTACCCCAAAAAAGCTTGAAATTTTTGACTGACTATTATCCTGAAATGAAAAATCAAGACATCTTACTCAAATACTGAAATGTTTTTTTATAAATATATAGTTGTAAATCAATTCCTAACAATCATAGGCAACTACTATAGACCATCTGATCCTCACTGAGTGTTTAGTGCTAGATTAACTTCCACAAAAAACATGATACCTAACGTTTAAAATCAATTTAAAAAAAGGAAAAATCTTTCTTGAAACTTTTAGTTTTAATTTCAAGCTAATAGATTAAATTTAATATTTCCATTAAGTAAAATACTTTGCTGTATTTCAAAAACTAATTTAAATTGACGGGAAATTGTTGTTTTTTTTGTTTTTGTTTTGCTAAAATAGCTTTTTTTTAGTCATCTTTCATTGCAAGGTAATTCTCTTTATTAAAAAATCTTCCAAAAATAAAACTTTTCTGAAACTTTATTTGAGGAATATTAGTTGATTTAAAGTATAATTAATACGATTTCAAACAAATATTATTTAAGTTTAAAATATTGCAGAAATGCATTTTTTAATATTTTTACAAGATTTTCTAAAAAAAATTTCAAAAATAATTCATTTGTGAATACGTCCTGAAAATTTCACTAAAATTCAACAATTAGTTGATTTTTGCAAGAATTTCCAAAACAATATATTTTTAACGCCAAAAACAAAAAGACATCAAAAATCCCTATACAAATCTTTGGTCCACACAAGAAAAACAAGATTTTTAACTAAAATTTCAAATGTATTAGAAAGGATTAAAACTGTATTAGAAAGGATTAAAAAATTGAATAAAATAATCAAAAAATCCTTTAGCCTTTCCTCTTAATAAACATTTTGATGCTAAAAGTTTGTTTTCATCAAGTTTGGGGCCTTCTTTCATCATGGCATGCTTCTTTTTTTTCTTTTTTAGAAAATTTTCCGAGGTAGCTAATTTAAATGTAATCCAGTGTATATTATGTATAAGAATAATACATATATGTATGAAGTGCAGGGGAAAAGTGTTGCAGTTTCTCCACCATGCATAGACAGATAATTTCTTGTGTTTTTCTTATATATAGCCTCAATTCTAACAAAGTTATTTAAGCGCTACTTGAAGTAGAAATGTTCAATCTTCAAGACCATGGGTAACTGATCCTACTCCTCCCAGTATAGACTCATTAGCAACCTCAGTATTATCAGTAATGTTTTTAAGGCCTTAATCAACAAAAAGGTCCTCAAGCACCTGGGTAGTAACAACCTCATATGTAATGAGCAGTGTGGGTTTCAATCAGCCCAATCCAGTACTGATATCCTAACTACCATTACACACAGGATTAGTAAGGCCCTTGATGACACACATACCACAAGGAGCATAGCACTAGATATCTCTAAGGCCTTCGTCAAGGTAAGGTTAGCTACACAAGCTATGGAATCAATGGAAGGATTTTCTCTATTATAAAATCCTTCCTAACATGTAGATCCCTGAAGATAGTTATTAATGACCAGTCCTCCAAGGAACTGGCAGTCAATGCAGGCATTGCCCAGGGTTCAGATTTATATAAATGAATAAGAATATACTTTGATCATTTGTAAACATCTATGCCAATGATACAACAATGATAGATATCTGTGTATAAATTTCTGGATATTATAAACCTAATGTCTTCAGCAACCATATTTTACCAGTGCTCATATTGTAATTTTTGGCTGTTATCATTACATGTTTTTACCAGAGCTCATATTGCAATTTTTGTTGTTATTATCGCTTTTCTCTGGCACTCCTTATTACTGGTTCCCATATTGTATTCATTTCTATGCTTGGTCTCAAATCTCAAAGATTTTTTGTGGCCTAGCATATGTGCTGATTCCTTAAGTTTACGAATTTTCCAATGGTGTTCTTTGTCTATGATCTCAACCTGATCCCACAGAGGGCGGTGATCTCCCTCTTCTCTACATATGTGGTCAGCCACACCTGATTTTTCCACTTCCTCTCATGTTACAGCTTTCTGGTGTACTTGAAGCCTTACCTTAAGGGGGCGGCCTGTTCCCCCTCAATATTTCTTTCCGCAGCTGAGCCATAAACACACACCCGATCTCAAGTGGAATTCCTATATACGACCCATTGACAAAACATCAAAGTAAAATGATTGATTCCCTGAACTGCTCAAGTAAATACCTGACTCCTCATGTTATCCACTACCTTTGTAAGAACCAGATCAGGCTGAAAATGGAGTAATGTTGCCATATTTGGGTAGGAGGTGCCTAGACCTTACTTTCCAGTCTTTAATAGAGTTCAAAATGTCTCCAAGTCCTTGTGGGAGAAGAATTATGCCATGCCAATTACATAGCAACAAACCACCCATACTCCCTCCATGTTCCATTGACAAGAAGTTCCACTCAAACAGCTTCTTCCCACAAACTACTGCCCTATGGAACAGACTCCGTAGAGGATGTTTCCCTGATCACTACAATCATAACCTGTTGAAGTCTTCTCCTATCCATATAAACTACCCTTTATCATAACCCTCTACTCCAAGTGGCCCCCAGGCCTTGTACAGGGTGAACCTTACTGTAAATATATATATATATATATATATATTTTAAGACATTTTTATGTTTATACATTCTTTTTTATAGATACAAATATTTAAGTAAATGCTCTGTTTATATTAAACAGTATTAACAACCTTTATCGGCCTGAAATGTTGTTAATACTGTTTATTATACAACAGAGCATTTACTTAAATATTTGTATCAATAAAAAAGAATGTATAAACATAAACATGTCTTATTTTTACACTTTCATAGTGTTTTGACCCCAGTTTGGAGTGAGGTAACTATTTGCCCATTCAGCAACCATATAACAGGTGCTATCACCTCGGATCAGGGTGGACCTGGGAACACCAGCCATTAAGAGGTGGTTCCACACTCCTCAAAATCTCCTGACCAGAGGCCCTGCTGTTGGATGTAGTTTTTTGTCTTACCCAGGACGCTATCTAGATGTCCTGCTATTACTTGGTTTTGCACATCATTACCCCGGTAGTGAGTATGAACTCATCAGGTATCCCACTATTATGGCCTTGTGCCAGACCAATCTAAGTTTCTTAAATATAGATAAGTAAATATTTTATTTGGGATGACTTTTATTTTTATTTATTTTACTAAAAATTTCTGATTAGAATAATTTTAGTATTTTTTTTTTTTTTTTTTTTAATTTGTCACAAGTTATTTGACAAAAAAACAGAAAAGAAAACAAATGGTACTTACAACCACTTCTTTTTTCGTGGATTTCACCATCCTTGAACAAGGGATGTTTTTACTTATTCTGCAAGAAAATTAATTTTAAAATTGATAACTTTACGAAGCGTCATTTAAGGTTGAAATTTTGTAGTCATTTTCAAAATTACCACATTGCTGCTGCAGTATTTTTTTTTTACTACATTTTTAAAATTCAATTATATTTTCTTATTTTCATGCTTCATCGATAAAATTATTTGAACAATTATTTATCCTTGATTTTATTAATTCACAAATAAAAATGTTGTCACCTAAAACAACAAAATAGCTAATTAATTACTTTATTGTTTAGGTGTTGATATTGTAAATTTCCCACCCAGCATTAGTTTTTTTTTTCCTCGGATGAATTATGAAAATCCTCATGAGAAACTTTTACGCGAGCAGAAAGTGTAAACTAAAAAAATAAGTTAAAATAAACATTGGATAAGCGAGGCCAAGGGTTGAACAGACTTAAATTAAAATTGCCCGAAGTTGCCAAGAGATGAGATTTTTTTTGTTTGTTTTTGTTTTTGTTTGGTTTTTGTTATTTTTTTTTGCATCATCATTACTTTTTTTTATCTTTCATCGTTATTTTTAATTAAAGTTTAAACTTTTTTAAAAAATATACAGGATAGAAAAATAGGAATTTTCATTAACTAAATAATTTTAGAAATTTTTTTTTTTTCCATAAAAAGCACTATTAATTCCGTTTAAAAATCTCTAAATATATTTTGTTACTTGTATGAACCGTTTTTGTATCTCGAGGGCGAAAATAGCTATTTTAATTAAATTCGATTAATGGGCGTCTAAAACTTTTCTTAAAACTCAGAAATAATAATAATAATTATAACAATTATAAATACAACATTGTTGTTGTTGTTGTTATTATTATTATTATTAATAATCAATCAATAATGAAACCTTTTTATTCTAAAAATTGAACTTTTTTTTTTATTTAGAAATTCGAATAAATTGCAATAATTAAGCCAACAATATATTTTATAATTTTTTAAAATATTTTTTTGGTTCGTTCAACTCAACTCAACATAAAAGGAAAGTAAATAATAATTTAAAAAGAAATAGTAAAACAATAATTTAAAAACAACTTTTCTAACAATAAATACGTAAATATTCCTTTTTTAAATTCAACTTACAATTATTATTTCAGGGTATTAACTGCATCGGTTTAAAACCAATCCGAAATAGAAAAGATTTTAAAAGACGAAGTTGAAATTGGCGCGGATACGAATACTTCTTGAGAACTTTATTGACTTCAAAAAGAAGATCCGGTGCGAAATAAAAAAAAGTTTCCGTTTTAAATAATGCTCGCTTTGCTTCCGACTTTTCATAAAGAATGTTATGTTATGTTTTTCTTTGTATTTACTTACGTACATTAGTTATTTCAGTTATTAGTCATTATATTCTCCTGTGGCCTGAAGGAGATATTCATTGTATATCACTTTGACCGAATGATGAACCATATTATTCAACAAAAAGGTAAATTAAGCAACGACTGGTTTTTTAGTTGAGTTGTATATGGGCCACTTTGCCACAGACGGCACACAACAGAGACGCACACAACAGAGCGTCTCTGTTGTGTGCCGTCTGTTTCTAAATAGAGTCTATTGGAATATTACAAATTTGAAAGTTCAGAAATTTCAGCTACCCTTGAGTTTCAAATCAACAGTATGGATGGAATAAATAGTGTGGATGTTTTTTTTTAATAATTCTCACTAATGAAATGTTTTTATGCTTGCAACCTAAATTCAGGGAGGAATTTTCCTGAAATAGATCGTTGTTATTGTCGTGGATGGTTTTTAATTTTCTCATAAATAATCTTCCTGGTCCATAAAGCTCAAAGATACATTGTTTTTAAGTGTTCATCCAATACAAGGTCCAAGGGTGTGGGATAATTAATGACTCCCCAAACTGAGTCGTGGCTTCATGAACAAAGTGAGACAATTGAACAATTTGAAAACAGTTTATGCAAGAAACACATTACATAACGAGACTGAGAATAGGGGATTACTAAAAGTTTTAGCTAATAAAAGTCAAGAAGGCATCAGGGGTGAAATCCAAATATATTGTTGCGGAGTGAAATGTATCAGAAGGTAAATTTATGTAAGACGAAGATTATGCGTGCTTATAATGTCAGTATCCCACAACATATAGATTACACAAACAATTTAAGGACAATTTGCATGGCAAGAAATACAGTTGTTAGAGGTCTAACTGTTGTTAGACCTCTAACAATTGTGTTTCTTTATTATTGTTAGACTCTAACAATAAAGAAATTTTTATATCACAATGACAATCAAAATTTGTTGTTGTAATAACTAAGATAATGTTATAAAGAATGTTTATTCAGAAACGTAGTTAAAAATGTTGATGCATTTTGATTGTTAGAAAAATTGAAATAACTTGATTCCTGCAAAGAAAGATGTCAAATGTGATCGTTCATTTATCAGTGTGTGTACGTGCGTAATTTAGAAGTAAGGTTAAATGTTGTCAAGAGTTGCTTGCCTTTAACTGATAGGCTAAATTGATGAAGTGTAGAATTACTTTTTTAGTGGTGAAAACGTTCATTTTTAAGTCAATTGTAGATGTTGATTAAACACGCGGACAATGGTTGATGAATGTTTTGTTGAGTTTGTTGAGATTTCAATGTGGTGTGTGCGTCAGTGAATTGACACGCGTGGAGTTTGGTAGCATCTCATGACACTCGGTGACTGACAATATTTAACAGTCCCCCCACGAGGGGTGTATGTGGCACAAGGCCAAGTTTACCGTGGATTCTCCGATCCCGTAGGCTCGGCCAAAAATATTCCCTTTGGACCCGTATAAACGGGTTCAGAGCCTGTCTACCCCCACCCCGGACGAAACTTTGCTGAAGGGCAAAGTTTTGTCCAAGCTCCTCTCTACGCAGGCAGAGAGTTCGACAGTTATGAACTGTCTGGTCGACTGAAATTCGATGACAGACTGTCTGAATTGAGTCATGCGGTTATTTTTATAGACTTTTGTGTAGCAAAAATCGGCTCCAGAGAGCTCGGCGGGAAATAGTTCGCCTGGAACTTTGCTACAATTTGGTGTTTATTAACCAATAGGAGATTGAATTTGCAGAAACGAGATGATGATTGGTTAAGGGCTTTTTAGAGAAGAATACATCTTTCTGAAAGGGGTTAAAGTCTAATGTGGAAGATTCCACAATATGTCTGTTTGAAATAGATTAAACACTTATATGAATGTTGTTTATATTCTGCTTCTATCAGCCACTTTGCCTTTGCATCATTCAGGTTAGCATGTGGCTAGCATTGCCTGTTCTAGAGTGGGCTGGAGACACGTCTCATTCATTGGAAGACTTCTTGACACTCAAATCCTATTTCGCGCCTAATTTTGGGCCCTACCTATTATCATCAGTTTATTAGACTCTTCTTATTATCAGCAGGAGTTATCTACCAAAGGGTGATAACCTATATTTTTTAAGGGTCACTCAAGGTAGAAGGTTAGTGAAGACGGTTGTTGTGTGAAAGATGTGAGGGGCACAGTTTATGCAGATATGGGGGAAAGATAACGGATAACCCTAGACATGAAGAGGTTAAGACTGAAGTAGTCTGGAAAGCATCCTCCTAGGATTCTATTCCACAAAGTAACATGTGGTAATGAAATCCCATCTCCCCTCTCGCTTGTAACCATCCATCACAATAAAATAAACGTTTTTCAATAATAAATCAGAATGAGACAGATAAAGCATCATAAATTTCTCCTTAGAGTTTTTACTATATTACACAACAGTTCTTATGAAGAAGCGATCCGTGTAAATTCCATCCAGATCACTTCATTTCCATTCAAATCGCAGATAGAATCATACATGTTGTTATTAATTATCGCCAATTTTTATTTAATTGCTCATCATCAATTAACAGTCATAATATGGTGAACAATCTTTAATTTTAAAAAATACTTTATTCTCGAATATTACACATCCGACAACCTAAAGAGATTCTGACAAAGTTGTTACAGATAGAACAAATTCTTTCTTTCTTTCAACAAAATAAGAAGACAATGTTACAGTAGACAGGTTAAAACCTGCCTTTTTCTTTGACTATCATAACTTTTGTATTTTGCTAGTGTGTTAATAACAAATGAACATGAATAAGAACGATATAAAACAATGAGGTAAATGAACAAGTCTGAACAATGCAGAATCTCTGTTGCTACTACAGTTAGCTTACTACTATGTAGTAATGATATTAGGAGGTAGTAGTTTGTCCGTCTTGTAAATTATAAAGATGATGTCTTGTGTGTTAGTGAGAAGTGATGTTTATGGTGAGTGTTAGTTCAAGGTAATGACAGTATACAACAACAACAATGGGTCTAACATTGGATTGTCTACAAGTGTAGAGGACCGTGTAGGTTTGAGTGTTGTTGAATTAAGGTCACGTGCTGTTTATTTCATGTTAGAAGGTCCAACTACAAGAACATGTTGGACTCAAGTTGAGTCCAACCGAAGATGTAAAGAAAACAAACAAGACCGTTATATATATGTCAACAAATATATGTATTAAACAACAAATTTACAAGTGACAAAGACATCAACATTTGTGATTGTGTGTGAACGTAAAGAGTTTGCATTTTGGTGAATGTTCGTACGTACGTGTATGTGTTTCCCGGCGTTTTTTCCCACAAGTGGGCGAAAACGCGGATCTCTGTGAGGGATCACATTTTTTTAATGTGTCCGCTGAAAAGCAAGGTGAAAAAGAGAACGAGGCAAGAAGTTGCCCAGTATTTATAATGTAGGGAGAGCGACCCCTAGTGACAATTAGGAAATTAAGGCGGAGCTAACTCCGACAATAGGTTTTCCTCTCTTGTCGACCTCCCTGTCTCCGGGCAGAGTAGAACCCAGACGGGGCTATGTCGAAGGGCAGAGTTTCGTCTAGGGAGGTGGATTTTTTGCCCGAACCTACGGTTCGGAACGACCACGTTAAAAACTGCCCTTGTACCATATCCCACCTTGTAGGAAG